CTGCAAAAGGACGAGGAAATAAATATCCAGCAAATTCAGTCTTGTGAAAATCTTGCCGACCTTTTCACCAAATCACTTCCTTCGAAGAAATTTGAACAGTTAGTTCACAAAATCGGAATGCGACATCTTCGTGAACTATGCTGAGATCAGGGGGAGTATTATATGTACTGCACTCTTTTTCCCTTCGATCAGGTTTTTATCCCACCGGGTTTTTCCTGACAAGGTTTTTAACGAGGCAGTATACCAAAGCATATAATACAATAATATTGGTGTACTCTTTTGGCTATGGGTCTTGTCCCATAAAGTTTTGCCTAACAAGATCTTTAGTGGCATTCAAGGGGGAGTGTTAGAAGATAAGTCTAATAAGTGAATGCCAATTATTGATTTGATTACACAATGCTCATATAGGTCCAAACACTTGTGAACTCATATGGCTCTATGTGAGTAATTATTGTATTATTAGTGTAACTCATGGCTATAAATACAATGCCATAGAAGTAAGAATACAATGATAACACTACAACAATTTCACCCATCTTCTTTCACTCTTTTACTCCTTTTATTAATCAAAACTTTTCTATCGGTAAATTCTTTAACAGGAGCAAGTATGTTAAATATGCTACTATTATAAGCAAGTCATATGCTCAATACAAGTATATATTACCATAGTACTCCGTATATTTTATTTTCAATTTTATAATATCTTGCTATTTTTTATTTTAAGTTGGTCCCTCAAAAATTTAATTAGTTGCTTTTTCTCATGTACTTGTTATAATTCTTCCCAAAGATTATGAACCAACAAACCTATAGAAATGGTTATAATAAGCCCACGAAATACATGCCTGAAAATTAGGTCTAGATCCAATTGTTGTATTAGCAATAAATCACTATAGGGACCAGAGAAGGAATTAGACCAATCACAGAATAGAAGCAACATATAGCAGTCAAATATGCTGTGGTTATATATCTTGTACAATAAGATAAACATTTATATATAGCTTTGTAGGTTAATTATTTGTTCCTAATGTTAGAATAGTTTGAACTATATATGTGTGTGCCAATAATAATTTACTTAAGACAATAATTTTGATTAGGAGTATGTGGTCTAATTTTTTAATCTCCGCCGCAAGGGCAGCATCCTCTTAACTACATGGAGGCTTTGACGCGGATGCAACCACCTAGTACAGTTGAGGTTGTAACCGCGGACGCTACCCTTGCGGTAAATTTAAAAAAAAAAATGATGGTAAGCATACTATATGCTGCCTCTTTAGATCACTTCTTGCAAGTTTACCAAGATATCAATCTTTTTTATTGATAATATTTTCTTTTGTATTTCTTTTGATAAATTAGGCTTTAATCTTTTTTTTTTTTGAAACAAATCAATTTATTAATCAAAAGCTATACGACATCTACAGATAAATGAAATCTAAATCAACAAATACATAAAATAACATTGAATCATATAAGGGTTTCCTTCATCAAAGCTACGATCGTTGAATAGATCTTGCAATGTGGTACATCTCTCGCACACATCGCTGGAATATACAACCTTTTCGGAGAGACAGTTTAACGATTTGTTGTAGGCGTAAGGATGATTTTCATCTGATTCACTTGAACGCTTTTGAAGATTTGACAATCGTTGCGATCCCGGACAACTCTTTACCAACGAACTGATAATAGGGAAAAAGATGATTACCTTTTTAATAAACCCTAACACACAAAAAGAAACCCTAAACAAAAACAAATAACAAATAACAAAACTAACAAAAACTAACGACTCCACCATACGAAGAAATTAGACTATTTCCGACCTAAATGGCCAAGAATTTGAAGAAATCCTAGAACAGAGGAGGAGAGAAGAGGAGAGGAGAGGAGAGGTGTTTGTTATTTTTTTATTTTTTTATTTTTTTTGAGGCTTTAATCTTATTAAGGGAATAATTCCCTAACTTACGCTATACTGAAAAAAAAATTAAAAAAAAAAATCATAATATTATTATTAAAAATATTTAATTTATAGGAAGAAGCAAGATAAAGTCCAAACTTGATCAATAATATAATTATCTTCAACCCTTCAAAGAATAATGAAGTATTCTTTATCGAATGAACAAATTTACTAGAATTAGGAACATGAAGATGTTTACATGTTAGACAGTTAGAGATACTTAGAGATATGAATACTAGTACAAATTGCCAATACAATGCTAAAAAGAATCTTTCCTTAATATTAGTAATAGTTAGTACTAATTCCTACTATCAATTTGGTTGTTATGAATGGTAGATGATAAGCTGTAATGATCACATGGCATATGAGCATAACAACCATGTCGAAAGTAGAAATCCATTTTAATTAATTGATCTTCTTGTTGATCACTAGTCTTCGTTCATTCCTTTTCCCTCCCATGCCATGCAACATGTCTTCTTTTACATCTAATTTGTTAAGCAAAGTAAGACAAAGAAAATACCAAATGAGATTTTGACCTAGTGGTTAAAATTGATGATTCGTGCAGTGTACAATATAGATCGTTGGTTCAAATCTTCCTATCCCCGAGTAATTTGTATTGCCCTTGTGGCTCAATCAGACTAAAAACAATATAGAACAAAGAAACTAAAGTAACACCGCGGACTAAACATATCTAGTTAATCATTTACAAAGGAGATATTAACCATAGGACCAAAATATGTGGTGTGTTTATTCAATATCCACCCATCGATTTAGCTAGGAAAATTAAAACACGGTTGCATAATTTATTTCCGAAGATAGACTTATTGATAGTGCTCTTAATTAAATTAATTAACCTATATCACGATCAATTAGTTAATTAGCTACGAAGTACAAACTTATCTCTAGTTGTCTTGTATTACAATCCTTTGACTTGTGCAAAAGGGACTTGGTGGAAAAGTAGAAAACGACCAGAAAGACCACGAAAGAAAGAGCAAAGATTACAAACAAGAAAAGATGAAAAAAGTGAGTGACCAAAAAAACATGAACTACTTTCACTAAATTGGTGTTTTCGTATAAAGTATCCAAGTGATGAAATGTGCATTTGACGTCTATTTTAGTAAATCTAAAGAAATGAAACTGAGATACTTCATAGTTCATACTAGTTGTACAATCTTTCAACCTCCTTTTTTTCATGTCGTCACACAAGTAAAAGGAATCGTTATTGACCTTTGTATGTAAAAGGAAAAAGATAGGGCAAGAAATAAAGTTTTTGTGTAGATTTATTGCAAACTGTACTAGTTTACTTGTTCTAACATGTAAGCATTAATTAACATTACTTGATACCCATTAAATCAAGAGTTTACAAAGTTTACGTGCAAATTAGGTAATTGATTTATTTATCATTGTACAGTAACATACTTTTTTCGTTTTTCAACACATGCAACAAATTGACTTTTAATGACAGTAAATAATAAAGGAAACTTGTTTGATGTATTAAGAAATGAAGGAAAACTTTCTTTTACTTATCTCATATATTAATCAAACATGCTTGTCAATGCATATCTTTAAAAAGTGGCGCATCTTGGACTAAAAATAGAGGGGAACAAGATTTCAACCTTAACTTCATCGACCTTATAATTTAAAATATAAATACTTAACCATTGTTACACAATTTTTTATACGTAGTATAAATATTTCAGGCAACATATTCTTTTGTACTCAAGGGGATCTAAGCCCCTATGAGTCTCAATGAAGCTCCATCCTTACACTTTGAACATCAATATATATGCTTGACACATTAATAAGAGTAGTAAAAGTGGTTTTAAAAAAAAAAGAGTAGGAGAAGTTATAAAATTCAATTTTTTGAAAATATAATTTAAAATAAACTCAAGAATATATCACACACTTTTTATTGGGAAAAAAAAATACATATTATTGATTATATTATTTTAAAAATTAATTTAATTTAGAATATTTGTTTTAAGTGTAGTATTCCATGTTTATACAAAAGCTAGTGTTATGTAATTGACTGAGACTGGTGAGAGAGGACTCCTGACTCTTAAAAAGGGAGGATTCGTTGCAAGCAATATGAGATGAAGTGAAGAGAAATAGAGAATCATTGATAAAAAATCTGATTATGATCCAGCCATGAATGACTCATCACTCAAATGTGAATGAATTTAATTAATTAACTATAGACCTCCTCTAATTAAATTCTCAAATTTATTTTCAACTCATGAAGAGTATAGAGCTTACTTCTTAAAGGTTTACATGGACAACATAGTACACTAGTTCATTGAGTAACGTTGTAGCCAATTTAATTAATTTCAACAAAATAACAAGTACTCGTAGTAGTTTAGTGCTAATATTTATTTGAGTAGAAAATGCTTTTCTTTTTTCTTATTGTTTTGGAGGGTAAGAGATGCTTTTCTTAAGGATTGTCTACCATCATAATGACTAAACATCGTGTCATACATTTGATCTTTCCCGCTCATCTCCCCACCCCACCCCACCTCTTTCTTTTTCTTCTTAGAATCTTGTTATATATTGCAAATTTTAGAAAACACATCAAAAAATGTCATATTCCATTCGACTTAATGGAAATTAATATCGAATTCCATCGTCCCATCACATTTCAATTACTCGTCTTATTTCAATAACGTAATCTGAATTAGTAATATTATAAGTATGCAATAACTAATTTATTTTAGATAATGATTGTAATTTTCTAAGAAGTTAACTTAAGATATAAGTAATCCAAACCCTAAAGTCTACCTAATCAAAGCCATCTGGTCACACATTAATTACATGTCCTATTGCAATACTGTAATTTAAACTAGTTATGTAGTAATGTAATTTGAACAAGTAATGTGAGCATACAATAACTTATTCTGAATAATGACGGTAATTCAAATAAGAACTTAAGGTATAATTAGTCCAAACCCTAAATTCGGCCTGTCCATAGTTATCCACGTTAACATATTAGGCATCATACAATTTTTTTGGAGGGGGATAAAGACATCAAATTCATAATAATAAAAAACAAAACCCACGAGGAGAATGAGAAATAATAATAGGTGGTTGTAAATTTATTTATGAAATGTAGAAAAACTAAAAAAGAGGCAGACAAATGAGTATGACCCACGCCTTCAATATTTATTGTACACAGAACTCAGTAGTACATTACATAAACTAACGAAAGCTCCATCACATTAAATCATCAATATCTGATTTAATACAAAAACTATTGTAATTATCAAAGTACAAAAATATGATCAGTGTAACCACCGCCATATATGATTTATGTTAATCTAATGGAAAAAGAAGTTGGTGCACATTCTTATTTCTTTCTCTCTCTTCCTTTCCAACTGTCTCTGTTTGCTTTCAGCCTTTCACCATCTTCCTCCTTAGTCTTCCTCATAATGATAAACCTAACAAATTTGAAACATAATGTACCAAACATTACAAAAGGTCAATTAGCATATGCTCAAGATATCAATTTGTAATAACTAATAAGCATTATTAATATGGCAACAGGCATCAACCGACTGCCGTCTTATTGTAAAGGTTTTTTATCTTAGCGCGGCTGTGTACGACAGCCCCAAACCTAGCAACATTGCCTGGGAAAGTGGTTACATGGATATAATCAAGGTTTTCGATCTTACCGCGACTATGTATGACACTATGACATCCCCAAACGCAGCAACATTACCTGCAAAAGTGGTTACATGACCATTATCATGTTTGCAACTGTGCTTGAGATTAATGGGGTGATCTCACAGTTTTGACAATAAGTGAAGCCAGCAAAAAAAAATTAATGACAATAATTGGGACTAATTATGAGTGCCGTGACGGTAATTCTTATAAGCAGTTAATGAAGATACTGGCAAGATCATATATTTAATAAATTTCCTAAGTTCCTTTTCCTTTCAAGAAACAATCTAACTTTGTTATTGAGGTTCAACAAACAGTCATTAGTTGATGTCTTGAAAATAAGATATGATGGTTGTTTTGGACAAGCAGATGAAAAACTACCCACGTACCAAACTTAATTATATGCCTTTAGATGATAAAAATGATGATTATGAATGTGCAAGAGATATTTAGGGACCCTGCAAATAAAAGACAAACAATGTGACCACAATTTAACAAAAGAAAAAGGGCTTATAGGAACAATGGCTTTGATGATTGTCCTTGCATATATATGTCACTCATTCATGAATGCAATCACAGGCCACAATAGCTCAAGTTTCAAAGGAAATAAATTCTTCAACCTATATTTGTCCCTTCATATTAATTGAAACTAATAGTAACAACCCTCCTCCCTGCCACAAAAAAACCTATTCCTTGAATAATTATTGGATGGTCCTGGACCAAAACTTCATCCGTCCATTAGATCATTACGACACGTTATTAAGGTCTAAATAACATTGATACTAATTAATGGCATTGCATATCCATTCGCCACAGCCAGAACAATTTCCGTGGTATTCTCCATAATCCTAGACTAACAGTGTGTAAACAGATATGGAGAGAGGGAAAGGAACGGAAATAGACGTATAAATTTTCCTTTCCCAATCAAGAAAACATATCCTAATGTTAAAATGATTAGGAAGGAAAACACAAACCCACCACTTACCTTCCACAGCCAATTATATAAACTCGAACATTTTTAGTCCCTTTCTCTTGACACTAATAGCATAAAAACCTATAAGTTTGATATAGTCCCCAACCTAACAAGAATTATATAAGGTTTCAAAAGGTGGTATCTATCAACATGGTGAAAAAGCAATATGAATATTTGCTAAAGACAGGTAAGGATACTAAGGAAATATTGATATATAAGAAGCCTTAGGTCAAGTATATGCAGCACAACAGGTACCTAAAAGAGATCTCATCTGAACAAAATTACACTTATTCACCTACACAATTACTTTAACTCCGAATATACTCATCAAGTTTGCATATGCAACGATACCAATCAAACATCAACACAAATTACACAATACTTGTGAGCAAAGAGCAACAGAGACAAAGAAAGGAAAAAAGTTGTTATGTTAATGTAATTCAGAAAGGGTGAATGTAAACATAAACGTTGAGAGCATGACACCAGAAAAATAGAAAACGTAAGACAGTGAAAGAAACAATGGTTTAAGAAAGTATTGATGCTTGTACTACGGTAAAGTAAGCTAATTAAGGTGACAATTTTTATCACAATCAACATCTATTAAGATTAAGCTCAAAGTGCAAATTCCGTGTTCCGCAGAAAGTGTAGCAAAACAAGTAATAGTTTCGGACACGAAACGCCCTTCGATCTTTTGCCAAATTCAAATTTTTATCTCATCTTTCCATTGTGGGAATATGAGTTTCCACAGCAGTGATGATGCTTTTAGTTTTCATGATGCTCATAATTAATAAAGATCAAGTAGGCAAAGATCATCTACCAGTCCCAACTAACAGTCCAATTCAGTCAATATTCCAATGAATAACTCCTAATCATAACCCAATCCCAATACCAGAACTTATTAGATTACAAAGTAATTATTACTATACAAACATGTAAAGTGTATCTCAGTAATCTCACTAAGCAATAAATTGTATACAAACATGTAAAATGCAGTATGTACACTACAGAACACTGAATATTATAGTGGGAGCTTCAATTTATAGCATCCAGCAGCTAGGAAACATTAGAGGGTGGGCCTAAAGATACCAGTTGCTGAAGGCCCATATTTCGTATGCAACCATAATCAAATGCCAATTTCTGATTGCAAGCATTAGTGCTAGTCAAGATATTACGCACGAAATGAATATACCAAATGCTGCAAAAAGACATCTTGCACAACAGAAAACACATGCAATTTCCTTCACTATTTGCTACATTTTCCCAGGATTATGAGCAATAGTTATAGAATTTAAGGATTTTATCAGAGCAATGGGATAGAAAACGGATGAGATGCATATCTTTACACGTATGGAAACCAAAGACAATTTAATGTTCAAATGGTCAAAACTTGAATCACAGCCTGACAGTGGAGAGCTAGTGGCCCAGCCATTAGTTAGGTTTCTCTCACAAGCCATCTTTCGTGAAAAACAAACGTGGCATCTCACAAGCCATCTTTTGTGAAAAACAAACACGACAAAGGTAATTTTAGCATACAATAAAAATTTGCCTGTTTAAGCATGAATGAGAATCCTATTCATTGTGCCCTTGTGTTGGTGCATGTGAAATAGTAGTAGTAAACATTTTAAGTTCAATTAAAATTATGAACAAGACAAACCTTTTACAAGCACGGGAATTAAAAATTCAAGCTCTGTCTGGCACTCTGGCACATTGAATATGCTGTAATTTTAGCCAAGAACCTAATATCTGTACATGGTAATGAAAGGTATCAACTAGCACAATTCAGCACACACACACCAACAAAAAAAAAAAAAAAAAAAAAGAGGCAGGTAAAGTTTTGCCATTTAGACTAATACTGTCAGGCAGCCAGCTAAAGCTTATATATTTTGAAACATGTAACTGCTTGAACAAAGTTGCATATTGTTTTGGTTAGCTTTAGGTACAGAAACTAATATTCCGTATTAAGCAATTAAAAACCAGCAATATCTGAAACTAAATTTTCACCAATTTAAAATGCTAATATTGGGGTTCTGGAAAACTGGAAATGCATAGATCAAATTGATGAACTACCCAATTTCTGAAAGCTGGTACCAACATTTCCACAGTGAAAACATTTCTATGAGCTTATCAGTGACCTTATTTTTTTACAAACTATAAAGAGTTCAAAGATATATGTTCTCAGTTCCCAGTATAAAAATAAATAATTCCTATTGAACTATACTGTAAAATCAGGTAACAAATTTGTTTATCGTAATTGGACCTGAGTTGGGTGAAACTTTGGCTAAAGATCACTCATGGACTGGAGAAAGGTAGAAGTGGAGGGTGATACACAGATTGTGATTCAAGCCTTGAAAGAGCAATGTAGGCATGGGGGCGACTAAGCTACCAACTTATTTTTGAAGGTGCCTTAGCCCCAAGGAATTTTGATTCCTTGTCTTTCTCTTTTTGCTTTGGTGACTGTCATGAGGCTGCTCGCTGTCTAGCTAGATTGACGTAACTAATATCCCGGGACAATCCTAGGGGTTGCCAAATTTGCTTATCCGCAATTCTGAACTTGATTCATTGATCTGAATCGCGGATCAGCACTGATACAAATCAGACTAGGGCCACTAGGCAGCCAAATTTGGTTTTCTTCAAGAATTTAGTAGTAGTTGGTTTGCTTAGTTACTTGACCTAGCTGGTATTCTACATTCCATAATAGTGATCAGTTCCAGGCCACACTGGTTCTAGCTAACTTCCTCTTTATCTACTCTAGTAAAGCGTAGTTAGAGGCCTAAACCCAAAGGCTCCTTTCACACTCTTTATAGGCCACAACATCATATTAGGTCTGGGTAACATAGGTTTTGATATTAAACATGTATGATTAGAAAAATTCGATACATTTGAAAGTCAAAGAAGAAAATAGATGCACAAAATAATTGCAGTTGCAATATATTGCGTATTTTCCCCATAACTACCGAATGAAGAGCATAATACAACCACCTGTTTTGTATCTCAAGATGTCACAATTCTTACTCCTAAAATCCTAAGTGCTCAAAACTAACACATGGGCTATTCACATATATCTTTGGGGAGTACATACCTAAGAAACAGAAGAGGTGTAAGGGTACTATGAGAAAAGATGTCAAATATTCTAAAATTTATAGTCTAGGAGGAGAAATAATAGAAGCTATAGATATTGAGTGTCCAGTGATAATCCTGATAATTTAGAAACTTAAATTATAAATGATCAGTCAAGACACAAATCAGAATAGCCAAAGCTCGTGTGAACAAGCATGAGCATCCACTGACCATCAGCATGGGAGATTCGAATATAGGTAACATGCAATCATATGAACAAGTTTTTGGGTCAAGGAATTGCAGTCTAGATTGCTAGACAGCTTGGAGGCAAAATTTAGTAGAAACCAACCATCATATTGTAGGATGTCAGATTACAGAGTCTCATACTTATATCTCTAAAATACACTTAATTTCCATTGTCCAAAACTAATAGTCGTTTGTTAATCCATTCACATTCCCAGAGGGGACACGTCAACGCATAAAACATTCACCAACTCGCCATAGTTTGAAATGTTTCTATGTAGTAACAAAATGTACGAAAATTTCAAATGGCACACTATTTTGCACCAAATTTGTCTAATCACAGTCCTACTGTAATTTTGACTAACACCAGTGATATCAAATTTGATCATTTAGAAAAAAGAAAGAATTCCAACACAGGAAGAAAATTCTGACAAAGTTAAAGATTTAATTAAGCATTTTAATTAGTGTAATCAAAGTCTAAATAGGTTCTTTCTTCATCACAATAACACTGCATGAAGCAGCATAAAAACATAACAGACGACGATTGTTCAGTAACAAAAAGATTCCTATTATCAGAAAATCCTGTCAAAAAATGTGGTCTGTCTGTGAAGAGTGTGAGCTAAGACATTAATAATAACAAGTCAGAGAAAACAAAATAGGCTACTAAGCACTACCTAGCATGAGAGTTTAGCTATTTTCATTATAAACAGGCAAAACTATAAATAGATGACGAAGTTTCTGTCTGATGAGTACTGCACAGAAATTGTTGTAAGGGTTAAGATAGAAAAGGTGTTAACAAGTTTGCAATAAATACTGCAATTTTCACAACAAGAGTTATTTCCTAACAAAATTTGAACCACGCCAAGAACAGGAAAAATACGAAAGTATAATTATAAATTCTGACATTAAAGTCAATACAGTAGAGAGCTGAGAACTAGAATAATTCTCCATGGGACTGAGATTACCTGCACCGATGACGCTGGTAAGCATAACAATCATGAGAGGATTGCAAGGTCAATTCTCCTCGTCATTGATGCTAAAATTTCTCAAAATTACAAGCACTGGTATATACCCTTGTCGCTTATTCAGTTTTAAACTCAAACAAGATCAAGCACCTGCAGGATACCATTGCTTCTCAACATGAAAATTTCAACAATTTATCAGGTAGCCACCAATAAAGGCAGCTATTGACAGCCCAAATTCACCAAGCCAGATCAATAGCCTTAAACAAAGTTGCTACCATCCATTTGAAATCGAAACTTTAAAGACTCCCAATACCAACAAAAGGCGTGGCTGCTGGTCATCTTATAAGCACTGTACTGATGTCAACGCATCCTCTCAGAGAAATAGCAGTCTAGCACTACAATAGAGTTACTACTTCCAGTAGATTTGTTGATAGAGCATGTTTGAATAATGAGATATAATCTTAGGTCCTCAAAGGCATAGGATGAACTAGCAGGCAAATAACATATTCCATCCGTTCATCTGAAGAGCTTGGCAATAAACAACATGTCCAGGGAACTCATCACAACTGTCCACCTTAACAAAACGTCTATAAAACAACAATACTGAAAGGATTTTAAAACGAGAATCTTGAAATGGGATAGCTGCAGCAGAACTTCGTTCAATCCAAACAGCAGTGGAAAGAAAATCCTTCATTTAAATTTAAAAATTCTGAGAATTGATTTTAGGATTTGAGTATTTTCTCCATCACAAAGATCTCACTTTAAGGAGGAAATTAAGTAACCCAAAAAGAGAAAATCACAACAGTCTAACCACCAGTTGCTACTCTACTTCATATATCCCCTTTAGCCCCTGCATTCACCCAGAGCAATACTTTCTGATAGTTAAGCACCTCAACCTGTCAATTCTTAACCACGACATAATTCTGCTTATCATGCCAACAAATTAATCAAGGAAACTAAACCCAGTACAGCCACATTGTAGTTAAAATCCAATGGCATATTGGCATTCAAGCAACTACACACAACGGCCAATAATCCTCGGTTCTGTATAAACATATATGAATATCTCCATCATCAATAAAACTCGATCAAGAACTCCATAAACCGACCGTAATGATGATTACACAAACAATATCAGATTAATCCAATAACCAATTAATCACAATGGCAATACTCAAAATCGTAAAATGTCGTTTCACTGGACCAAATACAAGCATTCAATCCACAACTTGAACCTAATACAAGACAAAAGCCAAAAAAAAAAAAAAAAAGGTAAATTGTTTAGGGTTTTAATATATATCAACAAAATTAAACTACTGGATTCGAAAAACATAATGCTCAGTGAAATGAAAACTGGAATTCGATAAGAAAGATCGTGTAAGCAAATAAATTCTTTGTTTAAAGCAAAAGAACCCTAATTTCTAAATTAAATCAGTTTTACAGTACTAAATAGAAAAAAAGTTAATATGCAATTTCGAATTAGCTAAATTGAGGTAAAATCAAGATGAAGAAGAAGGTTACCAATGTTCGAAGATTGTCGGAAGCTGCATTGCATCGCCCAAAATTGGCTGGCGATGTTCGTCGGCGACGAGACAGCTCCATCAATGTGTTTTCAAACTTATGTAAATGATCATATTGATGATAATAAAAGTACTGTACTTCTAATTGTTCCAATAAAACCTATTCCCTCCGTTTTCTTAACAGAATCTTCCGCCCTTAAAAGTTAAAATTAACAATTACTCAAATGTTGCACTAGGTTTTCACATTCATACTCCCTCCATCTATCTTTGTAGAGTTCAAGACCCACTACCAACACTTGAAGGGTGTTGTTCACGTGGTTTATGTTTTGTTTAAGTGGAAATATCTTCCCATCTGTCAAAGCTTGTAGAATAAGGCAAGTAATAGGTAGTGTGTTATATAAGTCATAGCATGTTTTTTTTGTAGAAGTAGCACAAGTAGAAAAAAGGTACTTACTCTAAGGTTTTGAGAGAAAACATAAGAGAGTGAGTAGTTATAGTCAGTAGCTTGTGAGTGCGAATACTAGAGATCTTGTGAGCTTATTAAGAGTGTTTGTACATGTGGTTTGGAAGGCTAAATACAATTGTTGATTGTGTTTGAAAAGGGTAACAAAGTTACCCATAAATTGCTTGTGTTGTTTTTTGTTGTTCTTTGGCATTGTTGTTTGTTTTTTGCTTGATTTCGAACCCGAATTCTTAACAAATTAGTGTCAGAGCGGAGGTCGTTTCGGGGGTAATTTGAAGGCCAAAGACATATTCGTTGAGGTAGAAAAGGTGTGGGAAAGTTGTGGTAAGCTTGGGTATTGAAAAATGGGTGATTTGTCAAAGTATTCAATTCCTTTGTTTGATGGAAAGATGAACTTTCAAGTGTGAAAAAGTTCAGTTGAAGACTTGTTTGGTGCAACAAGGTCTTGATGATGCTCTTGAAGAAGAGAAGCCCACTAACATGGAGGATGTTAAATGGACATCAAAGAAGAAGAAGGCAGTGAGTACAATCCGACTTGCGATTGCGTCGGAAATCAAGTACAACTACCTTAGCGAGACGAATCCTAAGGCGTTGTTGGAGAATTGAAGCAACAAGCGGTGTATGCTTCGAAGTCCTTGACAAACAAACTTTGTCTAAGGTGGCAGTTGTATCAACTCATGAAGGAGGATAATACAAGTATGCAAGATCACATTAATATGTTTAATCAATTAGTTTGTCAATTGTTGAATGCCGATGAAAAGATTTTGGATCAAGAGCAAGCATTTTTGTTGTTAGCATCTCTTCCTAAAGAGTATAGAACAATTGTTCAAACTATGGTAGTTGGAAGAAGTGAGATTACTCTTGATCAAGCTTTGGCAGTGTTAAGAGAAAATGAGAGGTTAATGACCAAAATTGATGGTGAGAAGAAGTCATCGGAGTATGGGCTAGTTGCGGAAGGTTCTTATCGGGGAAGAACTCAAGAGAGGAAAAAGGATGGCCAACGAGAAAGGTCGAAGTCTCAACCAAGGAAAGACTATAGTGACTTGGAGTGTTACTATTGTCACAAGAAGGGCCACATTCAATACTCTTGCAAGGCCATGAAAGAAGACCTCAAGAAATTGAAATCCTTGACGATGAAGGAGACCGAAAAGGAGGGGGAGGCATCTTTTTCTCATAGTGATGAGAAAGATGATGACCAAATCTTCTTGTTCGAAGAAGAGGGAAGTAGTAATGGAGGCAAGTGGATCATATCATGGATACGGGTTGCTCATACCATGTGTGCTATGACAAGAAGAAGTTCAAGAATTTTAAAGCTTGTGAAAATGTTTTGGTGCTTCCAAATGAAGAGAAGGTGCAAGTTGAAGGCATTGGAGAAGTGGAGGTTGTGACACATGATGGTCTCAAAAGAAAGCTTGGAGGTGTGAGGTATGCTCCTAAGGTTGGTAGGAACTTGATCTCACTTGGTAGGCTTGAGGCAAGAGGTTGTTCCATCAAAGCAATTGATGGACAAATGAAGATTTGTAGAGGGAATTTGGTGGTCATGAGAGGTTCACGAAATAGAAGGAACTTGTATGAATTGCAAGAGTGGAATGGGAAGGCTAAGTCCAACCATGAAGTTGAAGTAAAGAAGTCATCAAAGAGGGTGTAATTCATGAATGATTTGCACTGTAAATCATCATAGAGAAGAGTGGATTCAAGGTGTTCGGGGTAGTGGTCTTGAGGGGGAGATTTGTAGAGCGAGTTCAAGACCCACTACCAACACTTGAAGGGTGTTGCTCACGTGGTTTTTGTTTTGTTTAAGTAGAAGATATTGTAATATCTTCCCAACTATCAAAGCTTGTAGAATAAGGCAAGTAATAGGTAGTGTGTTATATAAGTCATAGCATGTTTTTTGTAGAAGTAGCACAAGCAGAAGAGAGAGAAAAAACGTACTTACTCTAAGGTTTTGACAGAAAACATAAGAGAGTGAGTAGTTATAGTCAGTAGCTTGTGAGTGCAAATACTAGAGAGCTTGTGAGCTTATTAAGATTGTTTGTACATGTGGTTTGGAAGCTTAAATACAATTGTTGATTGTGTTTGAGAAGGATAACAAAGTTACCCATAAATTGCTTGTGTTTTTTTTTTGTTGGTATTTGGCATTGTTGTTAACAATCTTATATAATATAATAATAATATATATATATATTATTATTATTATTATTATTATTATTATATATATATATATATATATATATATATATATATAGGATCATGTAAAAACAAGTGTTAAACTGAAAACTGAAAACTTTTAATCTGAGCCGTTCATCAAATCGTATGGCTGAGATTTGTTTCCTCTTATTTTCAGACATATCTGAATTTCTCTCTCCTCTTTAATTTTCACAGGTTATTTTCTCTCTCCACTCTCTTCTCTCTTTTCTTTCGTACTTTTTCTCTCTTCAACTAGCTTCTCTGTTTTCTCTCTCTACTGTGTGTTTCTCTTTCTTCATTCTCTCTCTAAATGCGGCGGAAGGAGGAAGGCGGCGAGTTTGGTGGATTCGAGTTTCAGGAGAAGCGGCTAAGGTATTTTTGGAGGTTCGATTTGATTTTTTTAATTTTTTTGGTTTTTTGATATCTCGAAAATTAGGTTTTCGGTGCATGTCTGATGTTAGGGCTTCTTTAATGTTTAGTTTCTAATCCGTGTTGTTGTTATGTTATTGTATATTGTGGAATTTGCTGGAACTTTGATTTGATTTTCTCAATTTCCAGTGAGATTTTGCGACTTTTGCTCATCAATTTTTTCGACTTTTTTTTCATCAATTTTGTTCGATTTTGTTTGAATTTGCGATTTTCTGTTCGATTTTGTTCAATTTAGTTCGATTTCCTGTTTTACTAATCGATTAACTTTAGTTTCTTCCTTAATTTCATTGAATCGAAAAAAAGGAATTACGTTTAATTTAGGCGAATTTTGAGTAATTCGAAGTGTTTTTAGTGGATTTGAAAATGAAGAGCCTGTCTTTCGAGTTGGATTAGGTGATGAATTCTCACTTAGTTTGGGCCTCGGGTTTGGAATTTGGCTTGGCCTTGTCTGAATTGTCTCTGAAGTTGGCCTTGAAGCTGGCATTGAACTTGGCTGCAAGGATTACATGCATAGACAAGCTGTTAATCATTTATGTAATTAGTATAATCATGCAAAGTAACATGTCAGATTTGGCAGAATTATGTAATGGAATAACCAATACAACTAACATGAAGTATATGAAACATAGGTTTCTTACATTAGAAGGTGCAGGGACTTGTTTGGCTTCAGTGCTTTTGATCAGCTGCATTAACTCCAAATGTTCGTGATATGCTATCTCCCTCTTAATTGCAAGCTCAGCTGAAATCTCATACTTACCCCTTGAACTACCCATATTTTAATTTTCAAAAGACTGTCAAAATCAGATTACCAGGAAGATATGGAAGAAAAGACTGTTAGGATATTATATATAGTCTGAGTGTCTATGTAGTGGGATCTCAAAGATGGTGCATATATATTTTTCTGATGAAGAATATGGAGGCTATTCTTGTGATTTGTTTTATTTGTCCTTTGGGAGATTGTATGTATGTATTCCTTTTGCTCCTTTTGGTCTGGCACGTAGTAATATCTATAGGTTATTGAGTAGGCCCCTGTGGGGTTTTAATATACTAGAGTTGTTGAGGTTGTACAATGCTTTCAAGACCATTTATAGAATGTTTGTCGAAGGGTTTAGCAATTGAGACCCTCATGTCATGGACACGAAATGAGAACCAGATCCTATTGGCTTATTAGTTTGAGGCTTGTTCTTGTCCCTAGCTTATAATTTTTAGTGATGATCATAAATCATTCACCCTTGTATAAAAATTAATTATAGATTGTAGGTCCCTATGTCATTATAAAGGTTACTATATTATTCTAATTCTGAATAATTCTGAATTGTTATAATTTCTAATTTACGTGTTATAGGTACAATAATTCTGAATTGTTATGGCTTTGCTCAACAATTGTACTATGGGTTGGTCATTGTATATATTATATTCGTAATAATTCTGAATGATTTTCTCACTTTTTGTTCATTTTTATTCGATTTGGATTAGATTGTATTCATATGGTGAGAACTAGAGGTGGTGCGACTTTTAAAAAAAGGAGAGGCCTTCATAGCTCAACAGGAGTTAATTTGCAAGATATAGGAGGTATGATGAATGTTTGATTTTTTGATTATTATACCTTAATATTCAATTTTTTGAATTATATGATGTTAATGTATTGGAGTTAACTAGTAACACCTGTTAATATAGCTAGTTGCCTCTGTTATGATAGACTCCTAATACTATAGAATGTAGGTCCCTATATCAATATAAAAGTTATTATATTATTAGTTCCCTATGTAACTGAAAAAGGTCACTAGATAATGACAATGATTATTATTTAAGTTATTATATTGCTATATTATAATTATTTGCTAGATAAAAATGAAGATAAGTGTATATATAATTATATGCTTGAGTGTTTTTGGTATGCTTATTCTTATTTAAATTATTTGTTTTGCATGTATCAATCTCGATGATGAAGATGAAGAACATATTGATGGTGGAAGCAAAATGATTGATGATGATACTAACAGAGATAAAGGGAAAAAAATAGAGACTGTCAAAGATGTTGAAATTGATAAAGATGCTTGGATTAGTAAGATGCCAGGGATGCCAAAAAAAAGGATTGAAAAAGAAAACTATCACTAAGAAGGGGAATGAGTCTTGTTCTTCACATGCTATTGTTTTGTCAGCTAAGAAGAGAAAGTTGGATAAAAATGAAGGTCGTAAAGTGAAGAAAGTGAAGGCAAATAAGGATAAGGAAATTGTGATTCATGGGCAAGAATCTGTAATCATAGATGGTGATGTACATATGTAAGTGATTTTTTTTTTTTTTTGAAGTTTTGTTTCAAAAAAAAAGGTCATTATGTTATAAAAAGAAGCAACTACGTAAAAATAGTCTTTAGATGTTATGTTTTATTAATATTATTGTTATATAGTATATTTAAATATAATACTAGTGACATGCATTCATTTTTACTTCTTTTGTTATACCTTCTAGACTTGGTAATTTTATTAATAAATACTTTGGTTTCTTATTTTCTCCTCCTTTTTTTTTCTTTTTTTATTAACCTGTTATTAGGTATCTTTGTTATTTTCTTAATGTGATTCTTTCTATGATACTAATTGTTTATCTTATCGTATGTCTTATTACAGGGTGCAACGAGGATTTAAAACACGTTGTAGGCCATTTCATTTAGTAGAGATGATTAAATTTGGCTTTGGAGGTTTGTTATCTTTGAAGGTGAAACGAACTGCAACTAATATGCTATCATGGTTGGTAGATTGTTTTGATCATGGTAGTTGCATGATTACTACTGATAGTAAAAAGGATTTTGTCGTGACTGAATTTGATGTGCATGATGTTTTTTGCCTTCCTTGCAAAACATCTAAGAAAGTTGAAGAAATTTCTCGTTGTGCTAATGTCATCAACCCTGATTATGATTTAAAGGTTAAATGGAGGTCTCATTTTGGTTTTATGGGTGAGAATGATCAGATTCCTTTGGGTTTTTTGGAATCTAAGATCCCTTTACTAATAGATGGCAGGGAAGAATTCAGACAACTTTTTATCATGCATGCTTTTTCAAGTTTTTTAGCACCTACGTCCAACAGAACTGTGGATTTGAGAATTGTAAAATGTTTGGTTGATGTTAATCAAATAAGAACTTATGATTGGTCAAAATATGTCTTAGATAGACTTTGTGAACCTGTGAAGAGCTACAAAGAAGGAAATATAGAATAGTTTTGTGGTTGTGTTTTGATGTTAGAGATTATCTATTTTCATCGATTGAGGTTTAGGAATGTTGTGTTAAATTCTACAATACCTTTAATTCAACATTGGATTGATGTGAATATAAGAGATAGAATTACAAAAGAAAAGTTGTCTAAGGGTTTTGGGTGTGGCATTCTTGAGTTTGATACATATCCAGTGAGTGAGAAGTTTCAATTTGAGGATGGACAAGTTGTTAATAATCAATTCAAGGAAGCTCCTGAAAAAGAATCTATTGTTTATGAAGGTGTTCGTAGCAATGTTAAGGGTGTTATTTAGTTTGAGCTACCTGCTAGTTCAAGGTCTAATGAGGAAATCCGTCCAAGCGCTATTGATGTAAGTTTTTACCCTTTAATTCTGTGTTTTTTTTTGTTTTTTTGTCACAAATTATTTTACTAAATCTAAGTGCTACATTTTTTTTTTCACAGGAAGTTTATGAGAAGTTTTTGCTCATGAAAAGAGATTTGGAAGTGGTATCAAACTTCTACATGGATGAGTTGAAAGTCTTATTTCAGACTCGTAAACTTAATGATGCTTCCACTTTGACACCTCCAATCTCCCAAACTGATTTATTCTTTATGGATCCTCGTGTTCATGAAATTGTTGATGAGATTGTGTCTCTTGTAAGTTGGGTAAGCAAAGTGCCTAATGGTTTGGATGATGCTGATATTGATGATAATGGTGCACCTGCAAAAGAGATTAATGTTGTAGTTGGTGAAGTTCCAAGGATAGGTTTTGAGCATGTTTTGAGTAATGGAAAATCTAAATGTTCCCCTGCTATGGATGTTAGTCTCTTTGGTGATAAAGTTACATATGTAACTCAATATATGAAAGTAATAAGGATATGAAGGTTTTGGATGTAGTTGTCCAGGAACTTGTTGACTATTGCATTAGTGATTACCATGGTTTCGATCTTAAGTAAGTCATGTCATTGTTCTTTTTGTTATTTATTTTTCAAATTTTAATAATAAGTGACTATGCTAATATACATGTGTCTTTTTATTCCCTTGTACAGTGAGTTGTTGGTATGTTTTGGCATCCCATTTGAGATTACAAGGAATGAATTCCTTTCATTAGGTGAACCGACTATTGCTATATCTTCTGGTATTATTGATTGTTGGGCTTTGTTGCTTAATGAAAACCAGAAGAGTAGTGCACATGGCCCTCAAAAACTATATTTTGGTGTCCCTCAAAGTGTAAGTATCTTTCGGCTATTTAGCTACTATATTATTATAAAGGTAGTTGTTCATTATAAAAAATTCATAAATTAATTTCACTATGTAATGAAAACAGTCACTATGATTCATAAATTAATTTCACTATGTAATGAAAACAGTCACTATGTAATTCAAGTAATCACATTTAAAGATAATAACTCTACCTTCTATATGTTTTAATATTTATTAATGTTTGATCTTTTTTGGGCTTTTTTACTGGAAGTTGCAAACAAAGATAGTAACACACAAGACATTGACAAGCTATTTGACATTTGGTCATGATGGTTGTTCATTCCTTGCAATGATTTTGATATTGCAAATTTTGAGTTGGTAATACATTGCAAATGTTGACAATCATTTTTAGGATATGCTGCATGGAACCTGAAGTATTATTATATTTTGCCTAGAGTGATATGCTGAGTACTTTTCTTGATCAACGCCTTCCTCAAAGTAATGACTCAGTGAAGAACATGGTTGAGTATACTTTGGAGTCACCTTCTCTAAATTGGAAGTCTGGAAAACAGAAGAATAATGATAGTGGCATATATACTATGGTCAGCATGCTTTACTTTGATAGAGCTGATGAGTTCAACTGCAATGTTTTGAAAATGGTTATCTCGTCTCATTTTTTTTATTTGGCTCTCAATTTTTATTATATTAACTATTTCCTCCATGAAATTTAACTAGCTTTTTTATTCTAATTTTTGCTTAAATTAATATATTAGGTTTCAACTAGACCGGCATTGAGAGCTCAGATTGCTGCTACTCTGGTATTGTCTGATATGAACATTGTCAGAGATGAAGTTCTTAAAAAGCTATATGAATTCAGATTAATAAGGAGTCAAGTTGCAAAAGATGTTTTTAATGGGATGAAGAAGAAAACAAAGCAAGGTAAAAAGGAAAAGAAAGTATAGGCAGGCTAACAAATATGTGGATGAAGTTTTTTGCTCAGAATTTTTTTGCACAAAAGTAGGAAATCTAATGTAATGATGTAGTTTGCATCAACAAATGGATAATCTAACGAATTTGTATAAGTGTTAATGTAGAACAATATGATATGATTCCAGTTCATACAAAGCTTTTGAATTGGTGGTATTGGTAGTTATTTTGATATGTAATCCTTAATTGACATTCAAGAAGTTTAGTGAAATATATATTAGTTATAAATTGGGCGCCTATGTTATAAAAAATGGTATCTATGTTATTTAAAAAGGTATCTATGTTATTTAAAAGGTTTCTATATTATAAGGTCACTATGTATTTAAAAAGGTATCTTTGTTATTTAAAAGGTTTCTATATTATAAAGTCACTATGTATTTAAAATGTTATTAGTTCAATGTGTTATATATAATTAAGTTATAATGCAAAGTTATCACCATATTCATTATTCTATTTTGTACACATATGTGACAAGTTTTCAAGGACCTATGATAAATATGTACCTAAAAATGCCTAACTTTTTTTTTATCTCTTAAAAAAGAAAAAAAAAACTTGAAAAAGGATATTATATGACTTTTTATAGTCACTATGTAAGTAAAATGACATTATATGAGGTAAAAATTTCCAATTACTATGCGATGCAAAAGGATCACTATGAGATGCAAGAGCGTTACTATGTGATTAAAAAGATTTCTATAATAATTTGTCTCTATCTAAATAAAAGGTCACTATGTAAGGTAAAAGTGTCGTATATATATTAATCTATTCTTAAGCTATTCAATTAGTATATCAATTAAAAGAACGAGCCCCTCCTTCCCTAACTTTTTATTGGCTTAATCGATGTGGGTTAGAAGAATTGTTAAAATGTGAGTATTTTTTTATAACGGTTGCTATATCATAATAAAGGTCATTATATCACTAAAAAGGTTACCACGGAATAAGGTTCCAATACGATGAAAAAAAGTCACTATGACATTAAAAACACATGTTATAATATAAATTGAAGTTATCATATGCCAATATGTCACTACATCAACATAACAATATAAAGGTCAATAAAAAGTTTAATAATAAAAGGTCACCCTATCAATAAAATTTTAACAATAAAAGGTCCATGTTTAATATATGTGAAATAATAACAGTCACTGTATCAATAAAAAGGGCACTATAGCACTATGTTCTTTCTCTCCTCTCATCTCCTCTATTTCAGCACTAGGCCGTCAGTAGCTAATGTTGCTTCTTGTAAATATGAAGTCGTTTTGCAGCCTTTCTACTCTTTTTTAAAATCCTGAAATCATGTACATGAACATATATAAAGAGAAAATCTAGTGGGAAGTAAACATAGTACAAAATTTATTTATTTTTTCCTAACAAAATACCTCATTCAAGTTGGAATTTTTTTGCGGACAATTCCGACTATCATGGTTTGTTCTCTGACCACAAGTTCTACAAAGTCTATCTTTCCTTTGGCTTTCCTCAATAGCTATCTCTTTGTCGGATTTTTTCCTTTTCCCACTACCACTACCTTTGTTGGAAGACTTGTTTGGAGGAAGAATATCAACAACTATGTCATTAGATCCAACAAATAATTCGATGTGTTTATTTTTTGCCTCACGTTTATCAACTGGACTTATAGAATCTAAGTCTTTCATCTCATTTTCAAAAGATATTAGCTTAGACAACAATGACTCAAGGTATTCAACTTTTTCCTCACAAAGACTTACACATGAAAAAAACTTGTACCATAAATCACCAACTAGCTTTTGCTTCTTATCCTTCTCTGCCCCATCAAACAAGTTGTTTAAGCCAAAAATTGGTTTCTTCATAGCTTCTTTAGTCCAACAATGCAAAACATATTGCCTTGGAATCTCAAATAAGAACTTTCCTTTCATGACAAAGAGAATGTGACGACATTATATTCCAACAGATTCAAACATTTTACAAGAGCATGAAGCATCATTAGAACACAAAACATATGTGACATGATAGCTTTTTTTCCTTGTGTTGTCAACAATTCTATATTGCTCAATCCCTTCTTCTTCTTTGATGGTAACACTACTTATACCATAATTGTACAAAGCATGCTTGAACTCCTTTTGGAATATGTAAAATACATTATGAGTGTAAACTAATGCAACATGCTTTTCCAAGTGCAGGGGGGTGACAAGTTGGGGATGTGTAGTTTTTGAAGTAGCATTCAACTTGTCTTGTGTGTGCCTTTGAGCATCGATTGCAAATTCATAGCGAAACCACAACTCAACCAATAACAAATGTTGATTGGTGAAATTAGTGAAAAAGCTATTTTCACTCTCTGATCTTTGAGTTGACCTTAAAACCCTACCCATAAAAAGGTCACGAATGTAGGAAGGAATCCACATATTCCTTATATTATACATATTTTTAAACCAATCTTCATTCACTAAATCAAATTCAGACATCACAGACTGCCAACCAATTTCAAATTCTTCTGGTTCAAGGTCTCTATTCCACACAACAGAGTTCAGTTTATGAAGAAAGTCAGTTTCTAAGCATAATTTGGGCCCTACCTTTTGTGGCACTTTTTTCATAATGTGCCACATACATAACCTATGTTTTGCCTTATCAAGAACTTTTTTCAATTGCCACTTTCATTGCAGGGTCTTGATCTGTCATGATACAGGTAGGCTGACAGTTATTCATCGCCTTTAAGAAAGTTTCAAATAACCATTCAAAGGATTCAATATCCTCCTTTGCAAGTTAGCCTATCCCAAAAGTTACACACTTACCATGGTGATCAAGACCCGTAAATGGGGCAAAAACCATAGAGTATTTGTTGGTGTCAAATGTTGTATCAGATGTAATCATATCACTGAACAACGAATAACTTTTTCTACTAATTGCATCTGCCTAAAATACTCTTGTCAAGCGTAGATGTTCATCCATACAATGCTCATTGAAAAAGGCACCTTCACTGTTTTCAGCTTTATCTTTCAAATTGTTTATAAACATCGAAGCATCTTTCTCTTGTATGTAAGCTTTCAAATCTCAATTAAAGTTCTTGAAATCATTCAATGTTGCACCTATATTATCATAGCTACCAAGATGTTCTTTCATCAACTTATAAGACTTGTTTGGACCAATGTTCAATCTAGAGTTGTCAAAAATGAATTTTTTCTGGCCAAATTTAAGGTTTCCAACATTTGCCAAAAAATTCATTGTGTTGGGAGAAGCAAGATTGTGGCTATGAGATTCATGAAAGACATAAACCATCCATTTCCGTCTGAACGTTCTCTAAACCCAATCATTGCATTACATCCAACACGATTTATAGTTCTTTTTTTAGCTTTAGGCTTTTCATCTTTCTTAGAAACTTTTGCTTTAGTTTCACCATCCTTCGTAAACCCTTGTTTATTACAATATAAATATTTCAAGTATACTTTATTACTATCTTTAATTCTCTTTTCAGTACCTAGTCTTACCACAAACCCACCAAATCTAGCATATCGCTTATAAAAATCAACACCTTTAAGTAAGGAATCAAAAAGCATACCTAGTGTAGGCTTTAGCTCAGGGGGACAACACGGTATAAACTCTTTTGTTCCTCTAGGAGTGTAACACACACTTGGGCCCTTTAGTGACGGCAAGTTTTCAGCAACATTGGTAGTTGTAGATGTATTTGAGCAACTACCTTCTTCTGATTCCTCTTGCATTATTTGCATATAATATCAAATAATATGTTTTAAAATGGGTACTATAATAAAATAAATATGATCCATTCCATGGTGCAACTAACTGAGCACCAACAAAACAGTCTACAATATATGGTTATGGTATCATAAAAAAGAGTTACTATATGGTATTGAGCAAGGTGTTAGTCATTAAGCAAATACACAAATACCTTATGTGCAACAATTTCTCCTAGTGTCTAATATCATATATCCAAGAAAAAAAAAACTTCAATACAAAAAAAAATATTTATATTGCAAATTATATTGGTTGAATCGTTACAAAAACGAAAAAAGAGCATAGAAAAAAAAATGAAAGGATTAGGATTGCCAGTAAGTAAATAAGAAGTAAGCATCATAAGTTAAAGTATATACTTAAATGAAATCAATAACTCCTCCTGTTGTTTCAATGCTTTAAGGATAGACAAAGGAAGTGTGGTACATGCAAACTACGAAGGCTACATTGTTGATGAGATTGAAACTAAATTTGAAACTAAAAAACAGAGCAAATAAAGTCATTCAAGCAAAATCACAAACACCTTATGTGCAACAATAAAAACCTTCACAGATGAAATGATTGAAACTTGTAACTAGAACAATCAAGGAAATAATATCAAAATAGCATATTTATATGAAAAAATCAACATAATATAAACTTAAATTCATGAAAAACGAATAAAAATCAAACATGATACATAGATAGTGATTTCAGCAACATTGATAGTGAAACGAATTGGATGAAAAAAAAATACCTCAGAATAGATTCGTCAATTTGATCTAGCAATTCGTGATTCTTAATTGAAAACTTTTCATGGAAATTTTGATAATTAATCAAGGAATTTTTCGTAACAAAAATTGGGGGAAAAAGGTTAGCTGTAGGAGAGAAAAAGCTGAAATTTCTGGGTTGTATTTCAACCGTGAGATTATCTCATTAATCATCAACGGTTGAGATTTGTTGTTTTTAGTTTTCACCATATGCCCTGTTTTCAGCGGAACCCTCCCATATATATATATATATATATATATATATATATATATATATACACTTAAGTAAAACATTTTAATTTAATAAAAACTTACAATAATTTATAAAAAATATTTTAAATTATATATAAATATATAAATATTTTAAATTATATATATATATATATATCGGATTTTTCACCATATACCACTGAGTTAAAGCTTAATTCACCATATACCATAGAAAACTTTCTAATACACCATATAACCTTCAGTTTTACGAAAATTTCACAACTTGCCCTTTCCGTTAACTCAGTTAGTCATTAACGTTAATTGTGCCACATGGCAGCTTATAATTGGTTCTTAATAATATTCTTTATTTAATTAACTAATTTTAGAGAAATTATTTTAAATTTTTTTTAAAAAAAACACCACCACCTTAGCCATCGCCGCCACCAGCCTAGCCCTGACCCTACCCCCAGCTGGCCGGCGATCGTCCCCCCTCCCCGCTGGTGAAATTCCTGACCCCAGCCACCTTTCCCTCCGGAATTCCCAGCCACCACCTGCGAGTATCCCTATCCCTCTCGAATTCCCAAGCACCACCTACGAATTCCCCTTTCCCTCCCGAAATCTCCAGCCACCACCTTCGTGCGGCAGCCTAAATCCACTCCCACACGTCGCCGCCGCCTAACTTGCCGAAAACCACCACCCCGAAACCCTAAAACACCAAAATCGAAACCCTAGATTTTGGTTTTAGGATTTCGACATACGTGGTGGTTTAGTTTGGGGTGGAAATGGCACCAATACGGGCGAAATTGATTCGTCGGCGCGGGGGAGGGGGGTTTGGGCGCTGACCGATGGTTAGCGAAGGGTTCTTCGAGGGAGATGGGCTGTTTTGTGACCGGTGGTTCGATTGTTCTTCTAGGATTTCGCTGGTGGTTCAAGAGAAAGGGAGTACGGCGGCCCGACAGGGGTGTTCTCGTCGAATTTCAGGTCAGTGTGGGGGTTGTGGTCGGAATTCGGCGCCAACGCAAGGGTTATGGTCGAGTTTTTCGCCGACCGATGGTGGCTGGCTGGGTGGAGGGACGTGGGTGGCTGGAGGGATGGTGGTGGCTAGCTGGAGGGACGTGGGTGGCTGGGTTTTTTTCTTTTTTTTTTTCTTTTTTTTAATTAAAATTATATAATTATTTTAAAATTAAGTAATTTAAAAGGGAACCAATCATATGTTGCCACGTGGCCTTATTAGCCTTAATGACTAACGGTGTTAACGTCCGTTAGTCATTAATGGCATGTTGTGACATTTTAGTTAAACTGAAGGTTATACGGTGTATTAGAAAGTTTTCTATGGTATATGGTGAATTAAGCTTTAACTCAGTGGTATTTGGTGAAAAATCCGTATATATATATATATATATATATATATATATATATATATATATATATATATATATATATATATATATATATATATATACATATATACACACACACACACTTAAGTAATCAACGGAGTTATCCCTAAAGTACACGTGTCACATTCACAGCAAAAACATTTTAATTTTTCCTTATTTCTGTAAAAAATAACATGATAAAAAAGTTAATGAATAAAAACTTACAATAATTTATAAAAATATTTTAAATTATATATCTAACAATAGAGGTTTTTTTTTTTTTTTTTTTTTTGATGATGGAAACAATAGAGTTTTAAAGGTAGACATTAAATAAATTCAATTTTGTTTAAAAAAAAATTATATAAGTCATTTCATTTAAACTAACTTCATTTTAATTAACTTTTACTTATTTACAAGCCTTACTACTATGAGTCCATGCACAGCATGGGGAAACAACTAGTTTTGTAATAATCGCAGTATCAAGTATTGCACAAAGTTTTAGAAATATAGGGTTTGACAATATGGGAATTTTATAATGCGGAGTATAAAGTATAGTATAGTGCGAACTTTCATTAAGTTATTGTAAGACGGGTTAAAATTCCCCTGAAAGTTATGGTATAAAGTTTCCAGTTCATAAAAAAAAATAATAAAAAAAAAATAAAAAGCCATTTTTTTAAACATAAATTTACTCTTAGAAAAACAATTGGTTACCATAAAAATTGTTAAATTTACTCTTAGATTTACCGTCTTTCAATAAAATTAACGTCAATCTGCCTTATACAAGACTTATTATAAAATAGTAGTGGGTCCTTAATAAATAAGGAACCGTTGCAA